AAGAAAGAAAGAAAGAAAGAAAGAAAGAAAGAAAGAAAGAAAGAAAGAAAGAAAGAAAGAAAGAAAGAAAGAAAGAAAGAAAGAAAGAAATGGCATACCCCTTCTAGGATGCTACAGTCTCCCCAGCTTCATGTAAGTAACAACCAGTGTTTCTGTACCACTTATAGTTCCCACCTGGCTCCTGGAGGTCTTCCAGACAATGACATCTGCCTACTGGATTCTTGAACTCAGGCTGCTTGGCAGTTACCAGGAGCCAACTTCCCCTTAAGTGCTTGGGAATATGCATCATTGGATGGGAATTAGGGACCAATCTGATGCTGCTCCCAGATGCTCTAGAGCTGCGGTCCTCAATCACCAGGCCACAGCCTGGTATTGGTTTATGGCCTGGTATTGAAATGGATCATACATCATTGCCTGAGCTCCACACCCCAACCCCCACCCCATGGCACTCTAGTCCCACTTCCCCAATCTGTGGAAAAGTTGTCTTTCATGAAACCTGTCCCTGGTGCCAAAGAGTTTGGAGATCACTGCTCTAGAGGTTGTCACAACTGCCCTCTCCTCATGGTTACCTCCAAACCAACAATTACAAACGGCATCCAGGCCACAGGATTTGTCTCAGAAAGCCCTGCAGTCTTCCTTAGAAGGTCTTGGGCAGCAATGCAAATTACATCAAAACTGGAGTCAGAGCTATTTTCTGCCATCATATTGTCTTCTCTGAAGCACAGAAAAGTGGGGACTCCCACAATATCTGTTGGCCCTTTCATGCTGGCAGAACACAACTATTTCCTCAATACAATCCACACAATAAACAGAACTCCCAAGACTAAAATTGGCTTAAATAATAGGCCTTTATTATCACATAAACATGAGCAATGTGAAATAGGCAGTTCCAGGGCTGGGTGGCTTAGAGATTGGGTACATCATGAGTATCACATAAGACCAAAAAATCCATGAAGGTACCTGCAGAACCCTTCCTGTGTTCTCTGGAACAAAATTGATTATTTCCATGCCAATTACATCAAAAGAGAGAAAATGAGGACCTCTGATCCTGTGAGACCACTCATGACTCCTAGGAACTGGGGCGAGAACACAGGTCTGCCTGTAATAAGTATGCTGGAGCTTTCATCACAATAGATATATTTAAAAAGAAAAAAAAAAAAAAAAGTATGCTGGAGGGACACACACTGTACCACTCTGCCAGATGATGGTAATGAATGGCTCCTGCCCTGGCAAAGGCCTTTCGCTGTTTAGAAAGTGCAACCTGCCTCCTGAAAGCACCTCACATACTTGCCAATCACAAGGTATCTCCCCAGGTGGATGTCCCTACATAGGAAGTTCCACTTCTGACTGATGGTTCTTTTACAACAGCTACTCTCAGAGTTTTGCTCTGGTGTGAGCTGTTAGGCTGAACAAAGAGACAGTACATTCCCTGTCCTGCTAAGGACTCTGTCCAGAGAGAAATTTCTAATGACAGGTAAGGTTCAGCCTTTGGTAAAAGGCTTTCTTGCATATGCTGTCATCATAATCACTGTTAGTTCTCCAAGGTACCCTAAGTTTGGGGTGTTGGCCAAAGGGTTTCCCACATTCACCAAACCCTTAAGGCTTTTCTCCAGCATGAATCCTCTGGTGCAGAACCAGTGTCTGTTTCCGGATGAACTCTCTACCACACTCACTGCATACATACAGCCTTTCTCCAGTGTGGACTTTCCAGTGCCTGATAAGGTTTGGCCTTTGGGTGAAGGCTTTCCCACACTTGCTGCAATCATAGGGCTTTTCTCCAGAGTGAACTTTCTGATGCTGAATGAGTTTAGAGATGCAACTAAAGGCTTTTCCACATCTGCTACACTTGTAATCACTGCTGTGAATTCTCCAATGTACATTAAGGTGGTAACTTTGGCTAAAGGCCTTCCCACATTCACTGCACTTATAAGGCTTTTCTCCAGTGTGAGTTCGCTGATGCAGAACAAGTGTGTGTTTACGACTAAACTCCTTCCCACATTCACTGCATACATAAGGCCTGGCTCCTGTGTGAACTTCCTGGTGTCGAATGAGACTAGACTTACTGCTAAATAATTTCCCACATTCGCTGCACTCATAAGGCCTTTCTCCAGTGTGAACTGTCTGGTGTTTGAAGAGGTCATAGCTTTGGCTAAAGAATTTCCCACATTCACTACATTCATAAGGCCTTTCTCCAGTGTGGATTCTCTGATGCCGCACAAGTGTGTCTTTGCGGGTGAAGGCTTTCCCACAATTGGCACACTTGTGATACCTCTGTCCTGTGGGAAAGGCCCCCTCAAGCTTGGTGCTCTTATGGGGCTTCACCCTGCTGGGAGGGGTCTGGTGCTGAAGACCAGAGGTGGTTGAAAAGTTCACGCCACCTTCCCCACATGTGTGGATCTTCTCTGGCACACAGACTCTGCAGCTGTTCAAAGAGTCCCTACCCTCATCCCTTCTGAAGGGCTTCTCTCCACTGGGCTTCTGGTGCTGGTCAAAGTTTGTACTGAACCAGAATTGCTTCCCACATGCCCCACAGGTGCATGGTTTCTGCCTGAATTTTTCCCTCTGGTATTCAGCCAGGTGTAAAGTATCTTTCAATGAAAGACCACACATGTCACATGGGTGGGTCTTCAGCTCTGCCATGGGTGTCATGGTCTGCAGCACTCGTTCCACAGAAACACTCTGCTCAGAAGGTGCCTCCTCATCTTCAGCTCCATGCCAACAATCTGAAAGCACACAAATGCTAATGAAATGCATGCTGACTTTGGTGGGAGGAGGCAGCCCCATGTTAATGTGTGTTGGACACACCCAGGAATGAGACTATTTTCAGGATGAAGGGCATGATCAGGTGATCAGGTTCAGGAAGAGACCATTGTAAGGCACTGGGCCTCTGAACATTACACAAAGGCAAAATGAAGGGCAAAGATATGAGGGTAGAACACAGCAAATGGTTTCCAGGAGTACCTTGGCTGTTGGTGACAAATGAGTACTATGTAAAACACTTCCAGGCCCTGGAAAATCCATTTACAAGTGAGTGGTTGGTGTACAAAGGCTAAAGATATGTGCACATTACATGAACTTAAATGTAGGTCAACACTGCTGAAAAATACAGAGTAGTTGAAGGAACAGGTATGAGAGACGCCAGAGAGGTCAAAATGTTGTATGGTGGCCGGGCGCGGTGGCTCATGCTTGTAATCCTAGCTCTCTGGGAGGCCGAGGCGGGCAGATTGCTTGAGGTCAGGAGTTCGAAACCAGCCTGAGCAAGAGCGAAACCCTGTCTCTACTATAAATAGAAAGAAATTAATTGGCCAACTAATATATATAGAAAAAAATTAGCCGGGTATGGTGGCGCATGCCAATAGTCCCAGCTACTGGGGAGGCTGAGGCAGCAGGATTGCTTGAGCCCAGGAGTTTGCTGTGAGCTAGGCTGACGCCACGGCACTCACTCTAGCCTGGGCAACAAAGCGAGACTCTGTTTCAAAAAAAAAAAAAAAATTGTTGTATGGCCACTGGCCTTGCAAACAAACGCTGGTGTGCACAGTTAAGGCTGCTGTTTGTGAACCCTGAAGTGATATCGTGCCATCCCCTGATGTTCACTCACCAGGTCCAGCTCCCATCTGGGCCTCTCTTTTTGTGGCTGGAGTCACATCTACCTGGTCCGGCTCTTCTCCTGGCTCCAGTTGTATGACTACATGTGACCTGGAAGATGCAATTCCTAAGGGTAAACCAGGATAGGTGAGCAGCCAGCACTGGCCCCAAGCAACCCACCCATGATGAACCACAGATAAGAAAAATAATTATCACAAAAAGAACCTCAAAGACAAGTTTTGCAGGAATATCCCAAAAGGCCCATAAGTAGTAATTATGTGAGTGCCTCTGGCATCCAGGTCCCAAAAAATGTCAGCCGGAGAAAGGCAGAATCTTGGGCACAGAGGCACCACAATTTTGGACAGATTCACCAGCCCAGAAAGTAACCAAATCTGATGAGATCCACTGGACAAACCACAAGTCTTGTGACCCCAAACTCTCAGCTGTATGGCTTCAGGGCTACTCAGCCCAAAGTGAGGACACTCCATACAGCTTAGCCCTGACATCCATGGCACCCACCCCAGCAAACTGGTGAAGGCAGCAGTGCTTGTGATGTGACCACAAGAAGGACAGAGTAGTACCTGAGGAAAAGGATAAAGACAGGTCGTTATGAGGACCTTACCGAGTGAGGCTAAAAGTGCACAGTTCTCCAGCAACACATCATGGTATAGGAGTCTCTGAGCATTGTCGAGAAGCTCCCATTCTTCCCGGGAAAAGTACACAAACACATCCTCAAAGATCACACAGCCCTGCAAAAACAAGGTCCATGAAGTCTCTTGACCAGTGGTCCTTACTCTATCTACCCACAACTTGCTGCTCATCCACCTCCTATGTCCCCAAGTTAGAGTTACCAGGCACTGGTACCACTGGCCCTCCTCGCTCTCTCCTGATCACTGCAGCAATCACTGTGTCAGCCCACAGCAACAACAGGCAGGATGAGCGGTAAATGCCATTTATACTCTGAGCCAGCAATTCCTCTGGGGTACCCCAGATCATGAATCCCAATATGAACCTGAGTTCACTATTCTCTCTTAAGCCCCACCCAAAAAGGACCCTGGGATCATCAGATCACACTTTTTCCTCTCATGCACGTTACACTTTGGATCATGCCTCCCTCATATTTCCAGCTTTCCACTGCCACCCTTCTGGACCATCCCACTGACATCTCCCTTGACTCCTGAAATATCACTCTACACATAGCATTGAGAAAGTGCTTGCCAAGCCGGGCGCGGTGGCTCACGCCTGTAATCCTAGCACTCTGGGAGGCTGAGGCAGGCAGATTGCTGGAGGTCAGGAGTTTGGAAACCAGCCTGAGCAAGAGTGAGATCCCATCTCTACCATAAATAGAAACAAATTAATTCACCAACTAATATATATTTAAAAAATTAGCCAGGCATGGTGGTGCATGCCTGTAGTCCCAGCTACTCGGGAGGCTGAGGCAGCAGGATTGCTTGAACCCAGGAGTTTAAGGTTGAGGTTGCTGTGAGCTAGGCTGACGCCACGGCACTCACTCTAGCCTGGGCAACAAAGCGAGACTCTGTCTCAAAAAAAAAAAAAGTAAAATAGCTCTAATTGGCTTACATCAAATATTTCATTAAAAACAAAATAGAAAGTAACCTGTGAGTAACAGAAAGAGATGTAAAGAGGCAATAAGTGTGAAAATATATTTTTCATAAGAAAGGATCTTGTATGGCTTTTTTTGTCCTAAATGACTGGTTATTTAGGAAATGAGAAAGCTAGGATAAAAAAAACAAAGTTTTAGGCATGTTTGGTAGATGGTCTGTGCAAGTTGAAATAAAGTTTATAAAGGGAATTTAAGAAGGAATTTAGTATGTGATAAAATGAAGTTTTCTTAAAATATTAATTTGCTTTTATAAATATCTGCCCAAGGCTGTGTGAAATTTCTGAAGTTCTAGTAAGCCTTAATATACATTAGCAATAATTATTACATATACTAAATTATGCATCACAAAAATAACCAAATCTCCATTACATCTGTAACCATGACTATTGTGGAATCTTTACCATCTGTGGATGGTTGTTTTCCTCTGAGTCTTTTTTTGACACACAGTCTCGCTTTGTTGCCCAGGCTAGAGTGAGTGCCGTGGCATCAGCCTAGCACACAGCAACCTCAATCTCCTGGGCTCAAGCGATCCTCCTGCCTCAGCCTCCCAAGTAGCTGGGACTACAGGCATGCGCCACCATGCCTGGCTAATTTTTTCTCTATATATTAGTTGGCCAATTAATTTCTTTCTATTTATAGTAGAGACAGGGTCTCGCTTTTGCTCAGGCTGGTTTCGAACTCCTGACCTCGAGTAATCGGCGGCCCAGGCCTCCCAGAGTGCTAGGCGTGAGGCACCGCGCCTGGCCAACTTCACTATATTTGAATCAATGTAGGTTGTTGTACCATACTTTAAAAAAATAACACATCCCCTGAAAATAAGCCCTCGGGTGTCTTCTTGCGTAAAAATAAATATAAGACCCTGTCTTATTTTCAGGGAAACACGGTAAGAAGGACCCCCGGGTGTCTGGAACGCTTACAGTCCGCTCGCACCTGGAAACCTTACCTGCACCGTTCCCTCAGCCTGTGATTCTCTCCCCCAATCACACTGGCTGTCAGAAACAGGAACCCCACCTGAGTGCGTCACTGCCCCGACACAAAGGCTGCAGCGACGTGACCACTTATTCGGGGTCTGGCCACTCGGAGTTGGGGACAAGGGCGGCTGAGGGCCAGGGGGACGCAGCACCCACCCGCGCCGGGCCCAGGAGCTCCGCCGCAGCCACTGCACTCCGTAGACTAGGAGAGACCGGGGGCGGCGGGCGTCTAGGCCGGGGACGCAGGCACTTCCGCTTCCGCTTCGCCTCCGACACGCCTCTGTGCGGTAGGGACAACATCCTCCCCACGCTTCCCCGATACTCTCACCGGGAAGGACGCAGCATCCCTTAGGCCCTGCCGCATATACCCCTCACAAGACCCAACAAGATGTCCGCCGAGTAGGACCCGGAAGTCCCGCCCAGGCATCATCTGCAGGCGGAAATGCCTCTCTTCTGGGCCCTCATTGGAGGTACAGCGCGTAGCCTTCTGGGTAGTGTAGTTCCCACTGAGCCATCCGCCAAGGAGTGGCTTCATGGCCTGGGCTCTTTGGAAAAGACTAAGTGCCAGGGCCAGGCACTTAGTCTTTTGGCAAATAGTAACACAACTTTCAGAGGACTGGCGAGACTTCTCCTCCTAAAAGGCCTGCATCTGGAGTGTAGTCTGCACCAATTGCAGAAATATTGAGACATTTCAGATATTCCTCAAAGCCAAGGCCAAATGGACACACCACACTACAATGTCTGTGTCCACTTGTATAGCTGGGAGCTTTTCGTTTTCTGGTTTTTGGGGGTTCTTTTAGAGACAGGGTCTTGCTTTATCACCTAGGCTGGAGTGCAGTGATGCGATCATAACTCACAACGGACTCGAACTCCTGGACTCAAGCCATCCTCCTGCCTCAGCCTCCAAAGTAGCTAGGACTACAGGCACTGGCCGCCATGCCTTAATAGTTTTTCTTATTTTTTGTAGAGATACAGTCTTGCTATGTTGCCCAGGCTGGTCTTGAACTCCTGGCCTTAAGAGATCCTCCTGCCTTGGCCTCCAAAAGTACTGGGATTACAGGCATGAGCCACCTCGACCAGCCAGTTGCTTTTTAAATAATGTGCATTGAAACTTTAGAATCAATTCCATGACCTTCAGTTTGGTATCATGGCCAGAGAGAAGAGATTCCAGACAGAGCCTTGGAGTAGAAGAAGTGAAAGAGATGTTGAGTCACCCTAAAACCAGTAGACAGATTTCCTCAGAATACTCTTTCCCCGCCTTCATAATCAGTGGGTGTATACACCCAGCAAGTGACTCTGTTTTTTCCAGATAAAATTTCTTACTCCATATCTTTAGATATATAGAATTACTTTTAAGAATCTGAAACCTAGGCCAGGCGTGGTGGCTCACACCTATAATCCTAGCACTCTGGGAGGCTGAGGCAGGCAGATTGATCGAGGTCAGGAGTTCAAAACCAGCCTGAGCAAGAGGGAGACGCCGTCTGTACTAAAAATAGAAAGAAATTAATTGGCCAACTAATATATATATATAGAAAAAAATAGCCAGGCATGGTGGCACATGCCTGTAGTCCCAGCTACTTGGAAGGCTGATGCAGGAGGATTGCTTGAGCCAGGAGTTTGAGGTTGCTGTGAGCTAGGCTGACACCACAGCACTCACTCTAGCCTGGACAACAAAGCAAGACCTTTCATAAAAGGAATGCAGGCTATCTGAATGACATTTCCTGCCTGGACAGTGTCTGTCATTGTCACAGTCAGATAATATGTTCAAAATGGTTCATGGTTGAGATAAATGGTTAGGACACCATTAGGTCATCTTGCTGTGAAGTGATTACTATTTAACCTGAGGTGGTTATTATTTAACCATTGTAGGTACCCTGTCTGCATTGGGAGTTCAGATTATCCCTGAAAAAAATCCTGAAAGTTATTAATAGCAATTCCATAGTTATCTGAAAATCGTGGAGGAAATAGCTCCAGTGAAATATTTGTAACAGATGTAAAAAGTTAAGCTTTTTAAACTTTTGTGAAGTTTGAGTCCGAGTACTGAACTATGAGAAGTGAAAGAATGAAGCAACATGGTTGTATTGAAATCTTGACCACATTTTGTCTACAAAATTTGATTATAATTTTTTTCGAAAAATGTTGAGCAATTGGAGGGACAGGTGAAGATATCAGATATCAGAATGATAAAAATCAATAGCAAAGGCGGGTCCTGGTGGCTCACGCCTGTAATCCCAGCTCTCTGGGAGGCCGAGGTGGGTGGATCGTTTAAGCTCAGGAGTTCAAAACCAACCTGAGCAAGAGCAAGACCCCTGTCTCTACTAAAAACAGAAATAAATTAATTGGCCAACTAATATATATAGAAATTGGCCGGGCATAGTGGCGCTTGCCTGTAGTCCCAGCTACTTGGAAGACTGAGGCAGAAGGATTGATTGAGCCCAGGAGTTTGAGGTTGCTGTGAGCTAGGCTGACACCACGGGTCACCAGTCGTCTAGCGCTGGGGCAACAAAGCGAGACTCTGTCTCAAAACAAAACAAAACAACAACAACAACAACAAATCAATAGCAAAGCATGAATAATTCACTCTTCTAACAGTGTTCAATGAGCACCTACCAGTTCCTGCTGGATAGTTCCAGGCACTATCTTAGTTGCATGGAGACATTTAATAGAGTTTCCAGGAGTCCTGTTTATACACTACACGTCCTGCATTTAACTTTTGTCTTGCATCCTGCTTTGACTTTGTCAGGATACTGTAAATATTTTGTACTCAACATTTTCCAATATACTACTAAAATTCAGCAGTTAGAGCTATTTTTTCATCACAGTAATTGGCACTTAACTCATTTAAATGGCAACAGTAAATGAAAATCATATTTCACAAACAGAACAAAGCCTATGGTTCCTACTCAGGTGGGCTACAGAACGACTAGAGATGAGGTGCTGAGAACTTAAAATGCTTATTCTTTCAAATTCAAGAAAGGAAAAGACTGTTCTCTCACAGAAGCCCTGTAACCAACTATCCCAATAATTGGATATACTACGATCAGTACACATGCTCTAAAATCAGCCCACCAGTAACAGACTTACTCCAGTACTACACTTCTGAAAGGTATCAAATCAATTTACCGCTTACCAATTTTTTCTGAGAAATACAACTAATTGGGTAATTGAAACTAAAGTCTCAGAAAGCTAAATCTTTAGAGTTAGTGTGAGGAAAAAAGAGAGGAAGGGAAAGAAGGATAGGAAGGAGGGAGGAAGAAGGTAAGAAGGAAGGAAGGAAGGGAAGGAGAGGAAGGGACGAGGGAGGGAGGAAATTGGAGTTGAATATGATTAAAAAAAAAAAAAAGAGAGAGAGAGAGAGAACAGTAGCCTTATTCTAGTGACCATACTGGCAGAGCCAAAAGTTCTTCTGACCTTAAAGATTCCCACTTTTGAAAGTACACCAAGTCCTGAATACCAAATTTCCTAAAACCCTACGTAAGACAAGCTCTAGCTTTGTTCATGGAGACTGTGCCTTACAAATACGGCTCCTCATTGCAAGCAAACAGGAAATTCACCTTTACTTTGCATAAAATATTTCCTATTGCTGCTGTAATAAATTTAGTGGCTTGAAACAATAGAAATGTATTCTCTTATAATTATGGAGGCTAAGAGTCTGAGTCTTAAGATGCTAACATCAAGGTAAGAGCTGGACTGGTTCTCTCTGTAGTCTCCTGGGGAGAATCCTTGCCTTGCCTTTTCCAGCTTCTGGCGGCTGCACCAGCCTGCGTCTCTCATCGCTTTGCCTCTCCTCTTCTGCAGTCATATATCCCTCTGCCTCCATCTTGTGAAGACACCTGTGATTATATTTAGGGCCCACCAGATAATCCATAATAATCACCCCATTTCAAACCTCTTAATTTAACCACATCTGCAAAATCCTTTTTGCCATATAAAGTAAAATTTACAAATCCCAGGGATTAAGAATTGATATCTGGATATCTTTTTCAACCTACCATAGATATTAAGTTTAATTTACTATTAGGTCAAAACTGTGACCCTTTTATTTATTTATTTATTTTTTCATATAGACCTTGGAGAATGATGTGTAACCCTTTTAAAGTGTCAGTTCATGTGTGCTATTAGCTGTTAGTTTGGACTAGCTAATGATAGAGGCTGTGGCAGATGCTAAGATGTGAGATTATAAAATGCAATCTTTTCTATTTATTTATTTATTCTGAGATAGGGTCTCACTTTATCACCCAGGCTAGACTGCAGTGGCATCATCATAGCTCACTACAACCTCAAACTCCTGAGTTCAAGTGATCCTCCTGCCTCAGCCTCCAAAGATGAGGAATTCTTATGGAAGTCTCATAAGCTGGGACTACAGGTGCACACCACCGTACCTGGCTAATTTTTGCATTTTTTGTAGAGCCGGGGTCTCACTATGTTGCTTAGGCTGGTCTTGAACCCCTGGCCTCAAGTGATCCCCCTGCCTTTGTCCCCCAAAGTGCTAGGATTACAAACATGAGCCACCATGCTTGAGCAAATCTTTTCAATTCTTGTGTTGATTGCTATTATCTATTTTTGTGACAATGATGTCACAAGTAATACAAAAAAGTTACTTGATGAGTATACTATGAAAACGTTTTTAATGTGCACACATGGAAAAAATGTGGACAATATGAATCCAAAAAGGAGAACAAATATTGTAGAGATAACACATTTAGAAATAAAAATTTCACATAAAGACACTTTTTTTTTTTTTTGAGACAGAGTCTCACTCTGTTGCCCGGACTAGAGTGCCATGGTATCAGCCATGAGGTTGAGATTGCTCACAGCAACCTCAAAAGTCCTGGGCTCAAGTGATCTTCCTGCCTCAGCCTCCGAGTAGCTGGGACTACAGACATGCGCCACCATGCCCGGCTAATTTTTTCTATATATTTTCAGTTGGCCAATTAATTTCTTTCTGTTTTTAGTAGAGAGTAGGTCTGGCTCTTGTTCAGGCTGGTTTCGAACTCCTGACCCTGAGTGATCCTCCCACCTCGGCCTCCCAGAGTGCTAGGATTACAGGTGTGAGCCACCGTGCCCGGCCTTATGACAGATTATTGAAAAGAAACAACTTGAAGAACAAGGAAAAAGTAAATTAAAAAATCTATCAGTAGGCCGGGCGCGGTGGCTCACGCCTGTAATCCTAGCACTCTGGGAGGCCGAGGCGGGCGGATTGCTCAAGGTCAGGAGTTCAAAACCAGCCTGAGCGAGACCCCGTCTCTACCATAAAAATAGAAAGAAATTAATTGGCCAACTAATATATATATATAAAAAAAAATCAGCCGGGCATGGTGGCTTGTGCCTGTAGTCCCAGCTACTCGGGAGGCTGAGGCAGGAGGATCGCTTGAGCCCAGGAGTTTGAGGTTGCTGTGAGCTAGGCTGACGCCACGGCACTCACTCTAGCCTAGGCAAGAAAGCGAGACTCTGTCTCAAAAAAAAAAAAAAAAAAATCTATCAGTAATACAGGAAAATGAATAAGGGTTGACTCAGATGTCTCAGTGTAAAAATGAATGCAGTATTAATATCATTACATTCAATGTGTTAAAAGATTGAGAATAAAGCAAAAACTTTGGCACATTCCTTAAAAGTTTTTCCACATATAGGCTTCTTCGATAGAAATATTTGAGAAAATAAGTGAATTTTAAAAAATGAAAGTGAGATTCTAGAGTAAATACAAAAAGTGAAGGTAACAAAACATGTTGTGTTTATTACTGCCCCCCAAAACAAAAATAAAACATAGAAAATAAAAAAATACATTCTTGATAGCAACAGTTATTAACTTGATGTGATTCATGGCATTGCAAGAAAACATGAATTAGAGAA